AGCCCGCTTTAATGCTTTTTTAAAAGCAGAAGGGCGGGCTAAAAAGGGTAATAACCCCTTTCCGTACTCCGCATGTTCTTCGCGTACTTACGTGTCTTGCGAGCGATCTCGGGTAAAATGCAGCTGTACTCAGACTGTACTCCGGCTGTACTTCTATGTAAAACTGAACACTTTGTCCCCTAGAAATTCGAGTTGGCGACCCGTTCTAATAGGACAGAAAGACGGCAGGTCTTTTGCATAAGCCCACCACGTACCTTTTTCAAAGCCTGATTAAAATTACGCGTGTCTTAAGCCTGACGTACTCTGTGTTTTCTGATAGGTGAATGAACTTGTTCCGTACTCGCGCTGAGCTCAATGAACTGACACAACCAACACATCAGACTTCCCTCACAGACTCACAAGCACAAGCCGTAGGGGTATTTCACTTGGCCTGTCGCGGCAAATGAGGATAAGGGTACAGGCGCACCCTTCGCGCACCCAAATTCAAGCGGAAAGGTCATAAACATCAAGTTTTGGGACCAGAAGTAGCCAAAAATGATATTTTGTATTTTACCATAAATTACCAATATTACCGGCCCCATGGTTATATAACCGTAAAATACGGTAAAGTACCATATCTTACCGGTAATATTACCGTCATTTAAATCCCTAACCCTTTCCCAGAGGGTAGCTTCCACCCAGTGGCCTTGCACCCATTTGGAATGGGATGGGCCAAATTCCAGCTGCACAGTTTAAATTCCGCTGATCGGTGGTTATTCTAGAAGTAATTTCGATGCCGAGCACGATGGTCTTTGTCCGAAATCTCTCCAATGTCGGGAACTTACCGCGCCTCCGCGTTAAAGATTTGACCACGCGTGGGCGCCAAGTCAGGTGGTAGCGTGCGGGCAGCCGCCGCTGCAGCAGCGCGCGGCTCAGGTGAGTCATATTTGGATCATATGTTCCCTAAAGGTTACTCTTTCGAACGCCACCTGGCCGATCGCGATGTCACACGTCATTCGTCCTAGCGAGCGTGTTAAAGCCGACCGGGGGAGCTAGGCCCTATGAAAAACCTCACGCGCATTTTCGATGTTTTTGCACCGGAGAATCCTTGCCTAGGCTCCCACACATCTGCTCCAATCCCGAGTATCACTATTGGTCAACTCCAACCAATCGAAAAACGTGCAGTTGTTGCTGAGCCAATAAAGGCATTTTGGCTTAGCACCTGCATGGGGGCACTACGGGCGCCACACTTAAGTGGACATTGTTTTAGAACACCTTCTTTTTGTTTTTTCAGTGCTCTTAAATTGCAACATAAGTTACCGTTTGTAACAAATTAGCAAAAGAAAATGTGTACGTAAAGTTACATAAATTTGTTGACCGTGACACGCTTTTCCATCGGCTTGGGCTGCAAATCAGTTTTCTTTGTTCCTAAGGCAAAAGAACCCTAAAGCTCATCACGGATTAGCCGATTTAAGTCATCATCTCGGTGAGGCCTTGGCATCAGCTGTGAATCCTATAGGAGAGGCTTTAGGGGTCCAGTTACGTCTCCACATTGAGCCCACGGACTGCTACAACCCACCCAGTCCAGGAGACCCTAACTACTCGCCTCTGTATCGGCCTCTTTTCCTCTTTGGAAGGTAGGTGGCAACCGAAAAAGAAATGCACGACTTGGCACCTTTCTTTTTACAGTAAGCCGGCTCTTGCCGAACGGAGTTGCCTACTGAGCGAAGTAAAGCCAGCAACTTCGTTGAGCGGAAAGGCGGGCCTATTCAGTTTGAAATACGTATGTTACAGCTTCTTCATTCTTCTTTTCCCTGCACTAACGATCGCTGCATCAGTAAAAGAAATGTGGTTCAACAACCGAGCCGATAAAGCAGGTAACAGGCAACAAACTTTCAAAATACCGACAGCATAGTGCTTGCAAAGAATTGGTTCGTATTAAAAACGATTTTTGTTCGAGCTTGCAAAGAATTTTGAAGCATTGTAGTACGAACTACTGCTTGTAAACTAGTTTTGTTGAATCGGAACACAGAGTTCGCAAGGAGTCCGACGAGGTTGCATAGAATTTCTTGCAATCTGAAGATTGAAAATTTGTAAACATGATAGTTTGAAAACATTTAACAGCCCCCCGCCTCCACTCTATTACCGCGTCAGATAGTGAAATTCTGGTTGATCAATATTCCAGGTTTCTTCATATTGACATTTAGCATTCGAAACAACACCATAAAACTTCTGAGAAAACAGGAAACAGAAATACACGCTATTCAGGGCATTCGTGTACTTGCTACGATCGGTGTCATAGCTGGCCATAGAGCTTATTTTCCTCTCATTGGACCAGTTCTAAACCCAGCATGGTTCGAGCCTGTAAGTCGCTTCAGCACGCATTAAATAACAGTTAAACAAACATAAGTCTTCAAAGGTTCCACATTTTAATTTTTCTTATTTTACAGACGTTCCGTGCGCCAATCGAGATGGTTTTTATCAATGGACATATTATAGTTGCGTCGTTTTTTGTCATATCTGCCTTTTTAGAAGCACGTTCGTGGCTGAAGGTCTTTGACGAAATGGTCCAAATTAGTGCAAGCTATGTGATCTTATCCTTAGTTAGCCGATATCTCAGGTAAGCAAAAACTATGTAACCTGACTGACTTGTAACGAGAAAAATACAAACGGATTATGCACTTGTAGAAGACATTCTCAAGTCGTTAAAAATCGCGCGGACATTGCAACGGGCATATCGTACGCAGGGTAGGGTGTAATCTCGGGTGTAATTATTGGCCTTGTTAGATTTAATAGAGATAAATGGCCAATATTAGACTCAACCCCTACACAGGATATGCCAGTTGGCATGTCAGGGAGGGGTGGTGCCAGTTGGCCCTATAGATGGCTGTCCGAAAGATGCGCCATTTACCCGTGTTACCCTTATTTTGGGAGTTGCAAGTCATTTACGATTGACCGAAGAACGTACGGCCGGAAAGATTTGGCTCCGGTCGTTACCCGTATCGATTCCGACTGTAAACCGGAACCTCTCCGACTGGAAAACGCTTGACTACGATCGGAAACTTTGAATCCGACAGGAAACAATAGGAACACGGTCGGAATTCAAAACAGATTTTGGCCAGAGTGCCAAAATACGGTCGGAAATTGTAGGGAATCGTACACATTCATGGCCGGAACGCCACTAAACGCCACGAAACCTTGCTGGAATTTTTACCTGTGCATGCGTTTTAGGTGCGGCTCCAGAAAGTTGGGTCGAGGGGTGGAAGCTATCGGTGGGTCTGGGGTGGTTATTGGGGGAGGAAATCGCTGTTAGGCGCTAGGGGACATTAAAATATTGAGCCTACGTCACACGGCGACCACCGGCACTCAATTTTACCCAAAGGGCCGTCTTCTGACCAATTTAGGGGTGGTTAAAAGTGTTTGAAAGTTCGCAAGGGTGGCTTTTTGACACTGTACTTTGTCGGCTCTACCTTAGAGAGTTCTCCTCGAAATTTGCAGCCAGATCCAACCCCCAGTGAGTCAGGGGAGCGTCAGAAAACAACCTCTGTTTCCTAACCACAGTGCGTTGCAAAGTGTGGTGTCGCGATGCGTTAGGCCCCACAGCTCGCGAACCGTTGAAAACCAAAGTTTGCGTTTTTAGGGGTCTGTTGCTAACATATGAGCCTACCTGTCTGCCAAATGGCAACCTCCTACCTAATCACATTTCGGAATGACGCCCTGTCAAAAAAGTGGTGCTTAATTTTGCTCACGAGTGTAGAAAACAAATGTACCGAGTTTGGTCGGGAATTTACACTTTCCTACGTCCCCCTGTTAGGGGAGGTTGCCAGGATTTGCCGTAGGCGTTTCGATATCTGGGAATGAACCTTAAGATACCCTGAAATTTGTACACCTCTAGGTAATCTCCTTCCTCTTACAGTCTTACGGCGCACGACCGACGACGTAAGAGCGGTTGCATAAGCCCGCTTTAATGTTTATTTTTAAAAGCAGAAGGGCGGGCTTAGAAGTAACGAGGTATAGATGAGCGAACATGTTCGTATTCGATCGAACTCAAGCGAACATCGAGCTGTTCGTGATCGCTTAAACATGAACATCAGTTGTACGGATTCGAAATGTTCGAGTACTACTCGAACAGGAGTTCGTAGGCGAACAGAATTAAAGTATGCTTCAGAAAAACGTGCCGTACATGGGTGTTATTATGGGGGCAGTGGCAGGTTAATAAATAACTACAATTTTAATCGTAAATGGAACTATTGCAAACCAGCATGGATAGCGTTTATAACTTAGAGGCAAAAAACAAACTGTAATAAGTGTTGGTGTTAGGGGTCGAATTTGAACTTAACATTGTTCGATTTGGTTCGTTCGTATTTGTTTGAAATTTTTTACACCAAATATGTTCGAGTTCGTTCAAATTCAAACTGACCTGTTTGCTCATCTTTAGTTCTAGACCAGGCTACCGGTACCTTACCTTGGTACTGTTTTTAGCCTGCCCTTCTGCTTTTAAGAAAAACATTAAAGCGGGCTTATGCAACCGCTCTCCTGTCCGTCCGTCGTCCGTGTAAGAGGAAGGAGATGAGCTAGTGGTCTACAAATTTCAGGGTATCTTAGGGGCGCTTAGGGATCACTCCTGGACAACGGAACGCCTGGTGCAAATCCTGGCAACCACCCCTAAGGTGGTGAAATGGGGTAACAAAGAAATAGGGGTTAATCCAAAAAGTAGGAGACAAATATTTTATATTGTCTTCTTAAAGGTACCTCGTGAATGAAGAGCCCTTCGAGCAAAAATTATGTCCGTTTGGCTCTATCTTGCACCGTTTGAGCGCTAGAGTGCTTTTTTCGACAAAAATATGGTGAAAATGACCACGTTGCACCCAAAGACGTTCAAGGAGGCGTCCAATCGTAAAATGTCTGAGTAAGTAGGAAAGGCTGGCCTGCTTGTTACGATTCTACCGATACCTTACCTGTGTATTTAAAATATGGTACCTTCCCCACCCCTGTTTGCTGTGGCACCTTTTGTCGTCATCAAATTGTACAACCTTTAGCATCTAACCAAGCGTTCAGGGTGCAGCGGGTTCATCACGGGCGAGTCAGTCAAGTCAAGCTTGTTTCGATCTAGTCGTTATCGACTGTATTAACCTAAAACTAGGCCTAAATACATGGATTTACCGGTAACTAAGCCTATATATAGCCTACATATAAATATAGAAATAGGGCGCGAGGGGGATAAGTGGTCCCCAAAAAGTTGTTATTCGTCCCATTCCTGTATTTACTTGAAATGAGGCCCACTTATCATGATTTACTGGTACTTTAGACACACTTAGGGTAAATTGACTGAAAATTAGAGCTAGATCATCTTCATCTTCTTCCACGTATAGCGTAAGCTTAGGTCTTTTTCTGTAAAAAAATTGTATATTTACCAAGTGGTTTTAATGATAACATGCGTTCGCAGACTACTCCCTGCACTCGCTGTGATGGTTGCCTTCGAGGCCCTCTGGCTGGAACACCTCGGCTCAGGGCCCATTTGGAACCAGACAGTGGTGAAAATAGCGTCGGAAAGCTGTCAGACGCACTGGTGGACCAACCTCCTGTTTATCAACAACTACGTACACCCAGGGGTTAGTACATCTGCTGAACTGGCTCACATTGCTATCGTTCTAAGCTTACAGTTTTTTCCGGTAGTGAACATCTGCGTACATCCGTTTCCTTTCTGGTACCCCTGCATAATGTCTACCCCTGCGAACATCCATTCTGTTTCCGGTAACCTTGTGCCGTATGTGCGAGAGCTAGGGTTGTTTGACGTTTGTTGTAAGGATGAGAAGGGAGAAGTCCGTCAGTAAAGGATAAATATAACCCCTCACTTACCCAGCTTGGGCCAGATGGTGTCACCACTCTGAGTGCTGCCAACGTCAGCCAGGCTTAACGCCGCGAGCGCTATGTGCAATATCAGCATTTCCTCTTGAGGCACTTTGTCACTCATCGACACCCTCGGTCATACTTCAAATCCATCCTCAGAACCCCTTCCTGCCCTTTTGTCTCACAGGTACCTTGCTGTAAAATCTTTGATAGTAACGACACTGTGTCTGGAGTATGGCCCACAGTAGTACTTCGGCAACACTAACACCAGCTATGCATCCTGGGGGTTGGGAAAATACACGAAGCACGATCACATTACAATTAGCGCCGCACTGAACGCATTAGCAGCTGTGTGATGCGCGATGCACACTTTTCATTTGCTGTTGTCTCTTGCAGTGCCTGTTGCACACCTGGTTCCTGGCGGCCGTCATGCAGATGTCCATGGTTGCTCCGCTAGTCATGTTAGCGGCGCACCGCTGCTCGCGTCGCTGGAAGGCGCAGGCCGCGCTTCTGCCACCGCTGCTGTCGCTTGCTGTAGCCAGTACAGTTCTCTACATCTGCACTGCGGCACAAGGCCTGCTGCCTGCTACAGCAAATGTACCGATGTATGCACCTTTACTGTTAATTGATTGTGGCTAATCATACTGATAAGTGGGATCGGGACGCGTCTGTGTTCACATCAAGTAAGCAGTTCTGAAGCCTTACCCCCTCCGTGGTTTCGTCTGCAGGTTTATGCGTGGAGCAAACATGCTCTTTGATGCCAATTTTGTAAATCAGTATCTGCCCGCGCACACGAATGCCATTCCCTTTACGGTTGGCCTCGTGTCGGGCACCTTGCTGTACATCTTGAGCATCAAGCAGTGGGCGTTATCTATGGTGAGTGTGAGGATTTGTGTGCTTATATACTGCGCGGCAAGACTGACAGTTTCCAGTCCTTACTGCCCCTCTGATGTAAAATCAGTGGGCCGAACTCATGTAGCCACCAAAACGGAAATCCGGATTGCCATGCTACTTGCACCAACGTTTGCGGTATTTTTGTGCTTCCCATATCTTTTTACTTGCTAAAACTAGATTTCTAATAATAATACTATAAAACTATCACTGAAAACTGCGCAATGGCGCACTTCGGGCACTAGATGATTGATTACGCCTCCCATATTTCATTGAGGCTTTTTCTATTGTCTCAGCGAGCTCTTAAATTAAACTTTCGACAGCAACATCATCAGTTTCAACGTAATATTTCCAATCAAACGAGCCTTGATGTAACATACGTTCTGACCTATGATTCTTCAACATCATGCAAGCATTGGTATCTGTACTCCGAACCATCTCACATCACATATGCTCGTTTGATCGACAATTTCACGTGGAATCCGATGCTAAAAACGCATTTTTGCCCTTGGGACCCGGGAAAAGGGATAAACTGTCTAGAGGGTCGCCTCCTCCAATCGGCTCCGGGCCCGTTTTCGGCGGCCTCTGTTCGACAAATTTGGGTCAGAGATTATTATATTTTCCAAAGAATGGGTTTACCGACCAGGTGGTAGCCTGCTCCCAGCTCGAAAAAGTAGTAGCTATCAAATTGCGTGAGCAATAGGGGGTCAAAGGCAAGGAAGAGCGTAAAAAGTATATGTCTTACCTTAGTCTGCATAGCAATTTCATAACTTTAGTCTGAATTTCAGATCTTCATTTAAAATGAAATTTTCTTGACGCTCTTTGCCCTCTCCTTCAAGTTACGTTGTATTCTAAGTAATTAGATAGAAATTTGTTATTGTACTTTACCTACCTAAACGGAGTCGAACCTCGGACCTTTGGATTGGTAATCTCTCATCCTTGACCACACGGCCACGACGACAAGACTGAGGGGTCACCGACAGCTACCTGCCTGATCCTACAGGTGTGCTTCCGGGACTAAACTAAATACTCATACTTTTATTGTCTGAATTTCAGAATCAGACCTTCGTCTGACTAAATACTCTGAATTTTCACATTTTCTTAACTGAATTCTTAATTCAGACCTACAGCAATGAAATTTCAGACTTTCACTGAAAATTATGACAAAATTGTATGAAAACCCAATTCAGACACCAGAGTCTGAAAAAGTTAGTCTGAATTTTCAGTTTTTTAGCCCGCCCTTCTGCTTTTAAAAAGGCATTAAGAGGAGGCTTAAGTCCCGGCCGTCCAGCGCGCTGGCGGGCTCCGCGCGGCGCTCGCAACGCCTTGCACGGGAAGACTTCTCACATTGTTTCTCAAAAACCCGTGCACCAAAAAAATCCAAATTCGGCAGGTGGGTCCATGAAGGACTAATCTCGATGTCGAACGCATTCGTTTTCCTCCGACATTGCCTGTTTTGCCTACAATGAACCCATTGACTCGGCCACAACATTTTTTTTCGTGGGCGCTTTTTGTAGAAAATCGCTCTGTACCGCTGTAGCCACATCCTTTATCTACATTGTATCAAAATCTGAGATCGATATCTTCAACGGTGTGGTGGGAATTTGGGAAACGCCGGACCTCTGCACGGGTTGTCACGGTTGTTTCCTTCGGTCAGACAGCGAGAGTCAGAAGAATAAAGGACCGGCCCTTATCATCGCCCCCTCCCACTGCCCCTCGTAAAGCTGGGACAGCAGCAGAGCGCCGAGGACCTGCGACATGCAGAACCGTG